TGCGCCACCCAGGCGCCCCAATGAACCCTTTTTAAAAGTCTGTAAGATAATGCCTTTTACCCATATTGTCCTATATACTAGATATTATTAAGTCTTGAATCTTAACCTGATTAAAAATATTTTTATTTTCATGTCTTTGTAAGAAAAATGGCCTTCTTGTTGAACATCTTTTCCAACATAAGCTTACTCTTTGTATTTCTTCTCTTGAAAGGAGCCTTTTTGTTGGTCTTCTCTGCAGAGTATTTCTATTTTTAAAAATGTTTGTCTAGCACCTAGTGCCTGGCACATAGTAGGAGGCAGTCATTACGGTCCCATAACTAGGTGTGTGTGTCATGCAAATTTGCATCATTTTCAAGAGTATGGAGGGTACTACATTGAGCCCTCCTGGGGGCAACATCCAGCATCAGTAATTATCTGCCTGAGGCCAATCTCGACCTTGCTGTCTTCATCCACTGCCCACTCCCACACTGATGGTTTTAAAGGGCATCCTGTGAAATGATTACTTTTTGAGAGTTCTTTGGAATATAGGGATTTTAACTCTTTGGTCATGTGAGTACAAATTCCCCCCCACCCCTTTCCATTTGTCTTTGAGTATATAATGATATTTTGGGGCCATGTTGATTTTAAACATTCATGTTCCAACATCTGTCAGTCTTTTCCTGTAGGGTTTCTGGGCTTTGTGTCAGTATCAGAAAGGCCTCAGCCACCGAAGTTTATAAAAACACTTTCTTTGATTATATTTAAGAAATAGATTTAAAAGCTTTCATTCATCTAGAATTAGATTTCAGTCTAAGAGAAGGAAGGATTACATGCTTTTAGTTTTTTTTTTTATTTTTTTTTATTTTTAAGAGACAGAGACAGAGCACAAGCGGGGGAGGGGAGGGACAGAGAGAGGAGACCCAGAATCCGATGCAGACTCCAGGCTCTGAGCTGTCAGCACTGAGTCTGACACAGGGGTCAAACTCACAAACCGTGAGATCACGACCCGAGCCGAAACTCAACTGACTGAGCCACCCAGGCGCCCCAGGATCACATGCTTTTAAATGGTCCCTTGCTTGATAAAGATTCATGTTAAAACTTTTTACAGACACAGTAAAAAAGTTTCCCTGCTAAACTGTACACAAGCAGTTTAATCAGTATAAAATGATTCCTAATAAACAGCATTAACTATGTGTAAGCGACCTTGGAGTAAGAAGGTGGGATCCAATCAGACGTGCTCAGTTCCCTCCATCTGCCTAGCACTGGTTTTAAATCTTTGGGTGTCAGTTGAGTGTCAAAGGCATTTGCATGTTTGCTCCTATTAGAACTTTCTGAAACAGGCCCTGTTTGCTCCAGATTTATCACTCTCCTGCTCTTCTGGAGATTATTGGTCACCTTCACCCCTTCCTAACTGAAAAAGGCACTGGGCTGTCATTACAGCCAGGAATGGTGGGCTGGCCCAGCGGGAGGGGCAGGCTAGCGTGAAGGTGGCCATCTTTGCCTGTGTCAGGTGCTCACTCTCTGTGTCCTTCTCGCAGGCACATCCTCATCTGCCTCGCTGCCTACCTGGGCTGTGTATGCTTTGCCTACTTTGATGCAGCCTCCGAGATCCCTGAGCAGGGCCCCGTCATCAAGTTCTGGCCCAGCGAGAAGTGGGCCTTCATCGGCGTGCCTTACGTGTCCCTCCTGTGTGCCAGCAAGAAATCACCAGTCAAGATCACGTGATGGCATGGCCGTGGTGGCTTGGCTTCTCTGCTTATTTTCCCTGATGCACAGGCTCCCTTTGCCAGGAAAGACATTCGGGGGTTTGCAGAGTCCAGGGTAGGGCCTGTCTTTTAAAAGTTCTGTTCCCTTGGGCTCAACTAACGTGTCTGTGGCCCGCCAGGACTCTACCATGCAGGGGGAGGAAGGTCTTCCCCTTTCCCAAAGATGGAAAGTGGAGGGCTGAGGGGCACCAGGTGGAACTTCTCAGCCTCTTCCAGATACAGTAGTTTGTTGGGCTGTATCCTTTCTGGCAATGGCAGAGCAGTCCCTCGGGGAGCCCATTTCCCAGTGGGAGATGGGTCCAGACTCGACCATTCCCATGTGCTCTCCGTGTCAACTCTCCTGCTGACTGACAGGCCCTGTGACAGACTCAGACCTCTGTCTGATGGAAGATCCCAGGGATTTTCATTTGAGGAAACTGTCCTAAAACAAGACCAAGCCAATGAAATCCACACAGGGCTAATGGCTAAGGAGGCATCCATGTAGAGCTCTCCGTAACCAGGTTTTACATGCACTTGTGAATCTTTTCTCTACTACCTCTGCTGAGAGATGGGGATTTGACTTCAGAGGAGGGTGAAGCAGACGAGAAAAACCCTCTGTGCCAAAAGCTACACTCTGCTTTAAGCCATTCTTGAAGATGAGCACAATTTTTAGATGTGGACATTGTTGGCCCCCTCCCCAAACCAACGGTCTCACACACACACACACACACACACACACACACAGGATAGTTGTGGTGTGAACAGGTCTGCACACAGACCCCGGCTCCTTAGTGCCGAGCTCCGTAAGGTCAGGCCTCATGACAGTCACGGTGGGAGTCCTGCCTGGTTCAACGTCTGGAGCAGACATGAAGTTCTGGAAACTTGTGCTGATTAGAAGCCTTCTGGATGCTCTTCCATTTGGAAGTTATCCCCCAAAATGTCACCTCTTCTTTCTGCAAGATTTCCTGCGGGAATCATACTCCATATTCTCCCAGTACAAGGTGCTTCCTGTGGTTTCTCCAAGGATTTGATAGCTGCTCTTCTCTAGAACTGTGGCTCTTTGGGTCGTGGGTGCAGCAGGCAATGCTGTTGGCCTTCTCAGTTTTTCCTCACCTGAAGGGACACTAGCCAAAACTAATCTCTTCATTGGGCCGACTGAAGACTTTAAAACGGTCATCAAGGTGTGAGGGGGAATGCATGACCTCAGGGATACTCACTTTAACTGACATCTCCTGCTTTGCAACATTCCATCATGAAAGAGGGCGGGACATCCTTGTGTGGATGGGAGTCCTGTCGCTAAGGATCTAATAATTGGGCAGGACCAGCGCGTGGCAGGTCTAGGAACTTTGGCTCCAGTTAGAAGTTGCACAGGATCGAAGGTGAAAAGTCCAATAAGGAACTGAACTGAGAGTTTAAAAATGAAGGACTTTATTCTGCTTCTGTGGTTTTCAAGTTATTTTTAGCAGAACCCTATCTGCAATAAGAAACCATCAAGGAACCCAAATGTGTGATAGATGGTGCATTCTAGTAGTTTAAATTTAAGGCTAAACTTCTACATTTCCCTTAATATCATGCAGCGAAAAATGCAAGTTAAATTGGTGGTTTTCCATGGTAAAAAATTTGGGATTGAATGAGTGTACCCTGTTTATTATAGCTTAAAAATATACTTTAAAAATGGTATTTAAGTATTTGTGGGGCTTCTAGTGCACTTCTGAGACCTAGGTGGTTCATGAACTACCTAGAGTTTTGTTTTGTTTTTTAAATTTTTAATGTTTATTTTTGAGAGAAAGAGACAGAGCACAAATGGGGGAGGGGCAGAGAGAGAGAGGGAGACACAGAATCCGAAGGAAAATCTGAGCTGTCAGCACAGAGCCCAACATGGGGCTTGAACCCACAAACTGTGAGATCATGACCTGAACTGGAGTCAGATGCTTAACCAACTGAGCCACCCAGGTGCCCTGGAACCACCTAGAGTTTTTAAAACTGCTGTTCAGTCTTTTGGGTTTAAAGTCTAGAATTTTTCCAAAGGGAATTAGACTGTCCTCACTTCAGATGGACTTCCCAGGTTTGGATTCTGGTGTCATTCATTCTGGAGTATAAAAATGCTCCAAAGTAGGGGGGAAGCTTTGATTTACTTTAAGTCCAGCTGTCTTAGTGTGGAAGCATACATGAGGAGAAGGGGCCGTGGGAAGTGTTTGTGCTCTATGGGAGGTTTAATTTCCATCTCAAGGGCTCCTCAGTGATGAGAGCATTGTTCCAGCAGTTAAGGAGGGTGTGGGTCTCTCGATCAGGTAAAGGGGTAGGTCCCTGGGGAACACCACCTTCTAACTCCCAACTCTTTGACCTTACTCTTCTGGAAATTTCTTAGTGTCCTTTGGAAATAGAGATAAGCTGGGACTGCTGGAAATGAGGAAATAAGTGCCCTGACAGGGCTGTTTCCATCTACCTTCTACAAGAAGAATGGCTTAGTTAAGATGTCAGAAGGAATGCTTTTGTTGTAAAACAACAACAACAACAAAAAAACAAAAACAAAAAGAAAAAACAAAACAAAACAAAAACCAAAAACCAAACCAGAAGGCCCTTCTAGAGATTGGTTTTGATGAGCTAAGGGCTGATAACAGATATGGAATGGGGTATATTTTAGGAGGACAAAAACATAACTTCTACTTTTGAACAAAAATCGCTATGGCTTGTTAGTGTGAAGATGGTAAATCAAGAAAGTAGGAGTTTAAAGATTTTATTTGAAGTTAGGTTTATGGCATCATTCATGTTTATATTTACGATGCTTTTATAGCACTCCAGGCTCTTGAAGAGAATTAGAAAGCTGCAGGAAAGTTGAAGAGAAAAAAGTAGTCTGCATTTTTATTGTCCAAGGACAATCATTGTTAATATTTTGGCATTTTGGTGTATTTCCTCATCTTTTTTTCTTCTCCCAATAGAGTTGTAAATAGAGGTCTTTTAGCATGCACAGTTCATCTGGTAGCTCGAATGGAATATAAATGTCAGTTGTGTATTTTCTGCGAAGAGCAGCTTTTGGAATACACTTGAGTTAGCTCTGCACTTGAGAGCTTATCACTGGATTCTGACTTACTGCTGAGTCTTTTTACATTGAGCCGGACATGAATAGGTCCTGAGAAATAATGAACCGAAATCTACTTTTTGTTAGGCCTCTGCACTTGGGTTGACGAACTACAGAAAATAGCTATTTGATAGGTGGCTCTGCAGGTTGTGAGGTTTTCAGATTTTAAAAAAGTGAATAGCTTATTGATGTGCAATCAAGAATCTTTGTTTGTTTTTTTCCCCCTGATAACGCAGGGAAGTGGAAAGTTGACATTCGGGAATTAGGTCATGGCTGTTACTCACCGTGGCAGTCAGATACTTGTTCTGCTTAGATAGAATTTGCCTGATGGAACTGGATCTAGGATATTAAACATTAGTATCCTAGTTATCAAGGAATCACTTAAGTCAGCGATTCTTATTTTTTTAGTGTTTGGTTGAATGCAGACTTTTAAGAAAGCTTTTCTCCTTTTGATGATGATTAGGATTATACTATTAGCATGTCAGTGAATATATTTAAGGTGTGTGGGAGAGGAGATACCTGAATCTGTTCGGTAACAGGCTACTTTTGGGGGAAATCTGCCTGTCCCTCTGATTAGTGCCTACTACGTTCATTATGGATCAGAGATGTTCTGTTGGGGGACCTAAGCTCAATGGTCATCAAGCACAGACTTTCTAAAAATACCGTAACTTGTTCTATTTATTGGCTTTCTCAGGTGTGTAAAAGCTGCTCACCAGTTCCTCATGCTTATGTGAGCCAGGGCCATGTTGGGGGCTCTGAGAGTGGGGTAGAGTCTTCCTTGGCTCTTTGTCCCATGGGGCTGGCATGAGACCATCTCTGAGGGACAGGTGAGGGCTGAAGCTTGCCCAACCGGAGCCCCTCTCCTAGCTCCTTTCCCCCAGATGAGCTTGGAGCCTTTCATTGCCAGCTCTTGGCCGGGGTGCTCCCATTCCAGCTGGCCAAAGAGAATGCTTGGGCCAGGTTGGGGTGCTTAATGGATTTTACATACTCCTACAGGCAAAAAAAAAAAAAAAAAAAAAAAAAAGCCTCTAAAGGACTGATTGTTTAAATTGTTTCTTTCTGTGTATGTTAAACCAGGTTTAAGACTATTTTATAATCACAGTATGTAATCAGAGCATATATAGTATTTTTAGACCTATTCCTTGTTTTATACTTTAGATAGGTTGTGCCGTCTTAGGGTGGTGTGCCCAGTGGCTGTGGGAGCAGTTAATGTCCATTGTTTGGGAGCGTTTTAAGGCCTTTTGAAATGGAGCTTTTGCACTTTATACTATTTTTGGGAACTATGAGTTATATTTCAATATTAAAGCCATAAGTGGCGTTTTCTGTGAATGAAAATATGTTTATGTTTGTGTTTGTTTCCAAAATGATTCTGAAATATCTGAAAGGGAAAAATGCATCTAATGGGTTGGAGAGCAAAGCACATTTTCCTGAATTAGTTTGAGTGAATTTGGGTAGCCTTGCTATTCAACATACTTAGGATTAGCGTAGTTGTTTCTTCTCAGAGCTGTGAAATTAACACACCAAAGTATTTCCAGTACAAAGTGCCTAAAAACAGATTATTTTTATTAGAAGGTCTAGAATTAAGTCATGGATGTAAAAGCTCAAATATAGAAAACTACTCTATGCTGGATTTTCCCCAGTCATTGGAAGGAGGATCATATAACATTTCAAAATAGTAAATGACTTTATTTAGCAGGGAAGTTCCTATGTATTTTGATGTTTATTTTTGAGAGAGAGAGACAGAGCGAGCATGAGTGGGGGGAGGGGCAGAGAGCGAGGGAGGCACAGAAGTCGAAGGAGGCTCCAGGCTGTGAGCTGTCAGCACGGAGCCTGACACGGAGCTCGAACCCATGGAACTGTGAAATCAAGGCTTGAGCCCGAGTCGGACGCTCAACCGACTGGGCCACCCAAGTGCCCCCGGAAAGTTCTAGGTGTACCTATTTTGCTTAATTTTCTATGATTAAAAAAAATTGTTATTAAAGACTTCATAGGCCATGATATTGGAAAGAATAATGTGACCATCAAAACAAAGACAGGATCGTTACAGTGGCTTTTTTTTTAGACTTTTTTTCTGGCCTGGAAGAGATCAGGAGTAGCCACAGAGCCTTTTGACAATCTGATGGGAGTAGGGTCTTCTCCCCAGGAAAACGCCTATAGGTAGAGTTCTCTGGGAACTCAGGTTCCCTGGAAGCCACCCAACTCCTGCAGGAACAGGGCACCAGGCCAGGATCCAAATCCCATTTCTGGTGCGGAAATTGGGATCTCCACTGCCTTGCTATGCCACTGCCCTCTAAGACCAGTGTTCCGCCCCTCCTCTCCTCCGTCAGGACTTTACCCTCTGAGGGGCTGGAGGGGGCAGCCCCGGGGTGCTGGGAATGTACAACTGAAGTGTCCTCAACAAAAGAGGAGCTTACACTTTCCTCCAGCCTCTTTCCTGGCTTATAGTTTCAGACACTCCGTAAGATTTTATCTGGGTCTGTCATATTCTGCCTTCTGTATTGTTGGATTTTTCCATAATAAAAAAATTAAGAGGTAGAGTATTTGGGGGTTATGTCCTTCATTCTCTCTGGGGCGGGGCTCAGCCACCTTCCTGCCCATCTCAGGGGGACCCTGGCCGCCTGTCTTTCCAGCTTAAGCGTTTGTCTTCAGTGGGCACTTCTGTTTCTGACCATCTGCAGGCCTGGGGACACCCCATTTAACCTGGGAAGTCTCTCTGGGTGGTAATGCACACAAAGGGAAAGATCAACCTCACATGTTTTTTGGTTGGTTGATTTTATAGCATGAAGACAAAACATTTGCTTCAGCTGCTTTTACCACTGAGAAGAGAGACCACAGCACTATCTTAAAAATTCCACAAGTAGCAGTAAAATCAGTAGCTTTTGTAGTAAGGCTAGTCACAAGAAAGTGGCTTAAGGTAAGGCCAGGAGCATGACGAGACACAAAATGGATGGTGGCACTGGTGACATTTGCTAGGGAAGGAAGTCTGTGAACAAAGAAAGCCATAGCTAGAGTGGGAAGGACCAGGAGAGACTCCTGGAGTAATATCGCCATCTTGTGGCCTTTTCAGGTATTCCTTTCAGTGGCACTCGAAGCTCTTCCCAATTGCCAATCACCCCAGAGCTCAGTGTAATTATTTCAAAAACTCCAAATTACACGGCTTCTTTCTGTGTCCACATATGCTTTCCTGTTTTTGTTTTTTTAAAACCCCAAGCATCTCTCTGCCTTTCCTGCTCCTTGCTTCCCCCGGCAACTCATTCTTCACCTTCTCAGTGTTTGAACTTAAAACATCTGCCAAATACCATAAAGCAAATATTTTCCTGCATGTAAAACTGAGTTAACGTAGTTGTGATCTAGAGGAAGGTTTTTAATCCACTGGAGTTAAGTATAAGTTTTGGGATTAATAGTTCCGTTTACACAAGCTAAATGCCGGTACAATCCCCAAAATCTTGAACACAGAATCCAGTTTGAACCAACGCTTTGCAAATGCCTGCTTCGTATTACGTGTCATGCTATCTGCAGAGGGCTAGATGACGAGTAAGGCAGCGTGCTGTGCAGAGGAGAAGAGAAACCACTAACTGCTGAAATCCCTGCATACGAGAGGCATCAACAGCACTGGGGAGGCAGGCAGGAGAGACTGGTAATATTTGACCAGGGAGGAGTTGGAGTTCAAGACTTCTAATCTTTAACTAATGGACCATGAGCCGTGTTTAATAAAATGTAACGTCCGTGCAATGAAAGAATGGGTGTATTGCCCTAGGAATATTGTTTTCTTAAAGCATGCCTTATTTGAAAGCCCAGCACAGAAGTTATCTTTCACGCAAGATTGTCTTACTCCTCTATTTTGTGAGGCCAACCCACAAAAGGAATACTCACAAAAGGAATAGGATTCCTGTTTTGGGTGGGATAAAACTGAGGCTCAGAAAGGTATTTTGATCACAGGCATTAAGTGGCAGAGTCAAGATTTGAACCCAAGATTTTCAACTCTTCCGTTTAGTTCCCTAACAACGGATTTAATCTTAACTTTCAAAATGGCAAAAGAGGTAAAGGTTTTCATATAGGTGGGGGCCGAGTTGGGGTTAGCAGATTCAGAACTATCCTATTAATACAAATGGTTAGATAAAACAGAGTAGTAGTCGGCATATAGTAGGCGCTTAGCAAAAGGCAGCTAGTAAGAATCTACCACCAAACAGTCGCAGAGGACAGTGCCATCTTGTGGCCACACTTCCCAGGGGTGACCATGTATGTACACATGGGAATCCTTCTACTGCTGGCTCCACAGTCCAAGCTGTCTCTTCCCACAGGGACAGATCTGCAAACCCAGTTCTTTCCTGGCCATCCCTGGCTGCCCTACAGGCACTTCACATTTGCCTTCACTTTCGCTCTCAAACCAGCACCTGCGCACCTGCTCAGAACACCAGGCCACTTTCTGTTCATTTGCCCAGGAAGCCCGCCCCACCGTGCCCCGCCCCCCCCCTTGCCCACCTCCCAGTGTTGTCGCCATCCAACCTAATAGCGAATCCTCCTGATTCCACTTCCCCAATGTCTTAAAATCCATCCATTTCTCTCCATCCTAGTGAAGGCACTGCTATTTCTTGCCGATCCATCCCTCCGTGCTGGAGCCACATCCATCTTTCTAAAGCGAAATTGGGCCAGGTCAGTTCATGGCTCAGAGCCCACCAATTCTTCTCCATCACTTGTAGAACAAAGCAAACATGATTTGAGGGGCCTTAACGTGATTTAAAATCCCCGGTCCTTGCCTTCTTTTCCAGTCTTGTGAGCTTCTCTCCTCTTGTATGCTTCACTCACTCGAGGGTTGAAGAGCCTTGTATGATTCTACATGGTATTTCACATGGCGTTAGAACCTGTATTAGCCACCCGTTGCCGTGTAACAAGTCACCCCAAAACTCAGTGGCTTAAAACAAAGATTTACTCTGTTAGGTCATAAGTTGGGCAACAGATTAGCTAGGTGGCTGTCGCTCAGGTCCTGCATGAGTTTGTAGTCAAGCTTTCAGCTGGGGCTGCAGTCATCTGAAAGCTTGACTGGAGCGTAGGCTTCACCTCCCAGGTAGCTCACTCAGAGGGCTGTTGGCTGAAGGCCTCAGCGTTTTGCTGGGTTGATGGCTCCACATGGCTCCTCCATAACAGGATGGCTGACTTTTAGACTCAGTGACCCACCAGAGCAGATGGGAAGCTGCAACGTCTTTTATGACCTCACTTCCGAAACCACATTTGGTCATTTCTGTAATATCGTGTTTGTTATGTACATCAGCTCTATTCAGCGTGGGAAAGGACAACACGGGTCGCCTGAGTTGGGGATCATTGAGGGCCATCTTGGAGGCTGGTAAATGCACAACCTTTGCAGAAATGGTTCTCTCTGCAAGGATGCGCCACATCACAACCTTCCCACCTCCTGAGACTTTACTTCTTTCCAGAAAGCTTTTCCTATTACTCCCCTCCTTCAGCTCTTTTCCCCTTTTAGTGCAGTGCTTTTCACCCTGTATTGTAATAGGGCAAGAATTAGGCCTTTAAAAATATCCATTTCTTTCAAAATCTGGCACAAAGTAAAAACTCGTGGAATTTGATTCCAGGAATCAGGGACAAAAGCGGGGTGACGGTTGTGCGGTGATGAGGGATTACGGCAGAACTGACTGAAGGCAGGACCAGCCACTTTTCTGTTGAGTAGAAGCGGAGGACACAGGAGAAGGAGAGACCAAAATGACCCCGGTGTCCATTTCCTATTCCTGCAACAGCTTAGTGCCTCAGAACCATACACGCATCATCTGGCAGTTCCAGAGGTCAGAAGTCCCAGAGGAGTTCCACTGGGTTGAAATCAAGGTGCCATCAGGGCTGCACTGTGGGGATGCTAGAGGAGCCTTGGTTTCCTTTCCTTTTGCAGCTTTAAGAGGCTGCCTGCAGTTTCTGGTTCATGGCCCTCTTCCATCTGCACCCCCAGCAAACGCTGGGCCAAGTCCTTCTCATGCCGCCATCTTTCTGGTTCTTTTCTGTCCTCCTCTTCCCCTTCTAAGG